TAAGGATAACTCCAAAACTACTGGTGTTTTTTTTTTGCATAAATTGTAAATACTGCAGCTGCCTGCATAATATCGTCACTTAAAGACATATTGTTTCCAACAAAACTTTGGTGGAGACAGCAAGTTGTCAACTAAAATGTTTCTCAAATTGTTGGCGACATGTTTCAATTCGGTGCGAAAACATTGGAACAAAATTTGGTAACTTTTGTTGAGTTGCAAACAGTTAGAAACATAAATGTTGTCAACATTTTCGGTGGATACGCGGTTTTACGCAACGATTTAAAAATATATTTAAATTTCAAGTTGTAAATCTGCCAAGTGTGCTTGGGTTTGAATTTAATTTGCTGATGCCCATCCCTTGTTTTAATTCCCTTTGTCGCCTCCTACGGTGCCTACGGGATGATATGAGGTAATGGATTCTTTTACACCGCCATTACATGGCGAACTTATATTGATTTATTCCATTATATAGAAATAAATAAATGCCGTGTGATGGCAGTGCGCTGACTGACTCCCTCGTCTCTTTTGTTCCGTGTTGGGTATAAGAGGTGACTATGGAATATGATAGAAAAACGAATGCCTTATATGGTCGTACATTCACACATTTATTTACTACAATAAGCCAGTGCTTGACTGCCATCCCACCTGATGTTAAGTAATGATGCAACCGAAGATGAAGCGCACTGACTTAGCTTAAAAATTGCCTATTCACTCTTTCCTTGACGACACCCACCTTATAATCGGATGGACATAAAGATGCTGGCAGCTTATTCCACTCCTTTGCTGTATGCATAATAAACGACAAAGAAATTGGTTTTAAATGGTACATCAAAAACAAGCGTCAAGCTGCCAGCCAAGCGTCTGGTGGTTCGATAATAGAATGTAGAGGTTGGAATTAACTCATGCGATTTGCTGCTTTGCGCCTGTTGTCCAGGCGTGTAAGATTGGTTCTTGCCTCTTAGCACGCCTTTCTATAGAGTCCAAAGCCGCTAGATGGCATTTGCTGCATATTGGGATTATCAATCACCACAATGAAACACGGGATTAAGGAGCCACTGAAGAGTTTAGGGAAATACTGCCTTCCAAATGTTAACTCTCCTATACTTTCATACTCTATTAGTGCTTTATCGCTTTTAAGGCTCCAGAAGTTCCCGTCAACAATAATCTAGTTTAAGACTTTACACGACAATGGGTCGTTACTCGTTATTCATACTTGTGCATGGTGTCAACTAGAATGTATACGGAACAGACGTACGAAGTCAAAAAGCGAGTAATATATTTAGGAAGTAGGAATAATATAAGAAGGAATGTTTCAAGAATTTGCCCCATTTTGAGAATGCAGCACGAATGGGTCGTCTGAGCCTTAGAAAGATCACATTTTCATAATGTCCTCTACTTAATTTCGGCCACGGCGGCTAGTCTTGACGAAGACTAGCCAGGCTAGTGTAGCCAGCCCCTGTGTAGTCTTTTGTAATATTTACGCGAATCTACACATTTAAATAAAACTAGTTTTTACGGATTTAATCGCGTAAATTAACTTATTTTATATACCCGATGTGTCGAGCACTTTACAGCACTCATGTTCACGGTGGCGACTGAGGTGTTGAACGTCTCATTGTCATAGTTAACCACGGCTACCTCCAGATAATAATTATTAATTTTTGTTCCGATCTACAAAGTATAAACTTATAGTATATTGAGATCTTGCAGTTGTATGCTTGCGTTGTGATTTAATTTTATTAAGAATCGGATTCCAAGGTAGCAACCAGTTATTTCTTCTATTCAAACTATGATGTTTTCTGATTCCAATAGCTTCGCGGATCGAGCTTAGGAGGAATCGTTGTTCTTTACCGAGAATTTGCGGTCAATCAAATCTAATATATTAGCGGGGGCGACCTGCTTGTTCACAGACTGCAGACTTTGCGAAGAGTATTATTTTTCCCGAGTGTATACGCAAGCACAAGTGTAGTCTCTATTCCTTCACTCTTATAGTCAGATGCGACGACAAATCGACACGACCAGATATAGGTCAGGCGCAGGATCCAACAGCTTGACGTGTTTTCCAAGGCACGGGGGAAACACCGCTAACTTCCTTCTTGACAGGAAAACGACATCACCAAATTTGTTTATAGGATATGGTGACGAACTAGTACACAGTCCATCAGATGGTAAGTGATTGCTGTAGCTCATAGACATCTACATCTATCCTCGTTTGCGAATCAAAATGGAGATGCGTTGTCACCCGTGAGAATTAAGATGGAATGCCTCTTTTCCAGTAAAAGGGTCTCCGGTTCTCTATTGTTATCTTCTTCCGGTCCTGGGTTCACAAGCTCTTCGCGTAATTAAGTTTATTTTAATTTCCCAGAGAATTACAAAACCTTTATTAGATTAATAACATAATTTTTATAATAACGAGTTGAATGTAAATTCAAGAAAAACAACTTCCTTCTGCGTGAATCCCATATCTCTGGTGCCCTTTGACCTACAGGACCCAAATTCGACCGAGCTACTACCTCAAGGTATACACATACCAAATTTAAAGTCAATCGGTCCAGTGGAACGGAAGCTATCGTGTCGGCATACAGACTATTAGACTGCCAGCTAAAACCATTAACTTCCTTTCAATGCTACGCAGAAGGAAGTTAATAAATGATAATTAAATAATAACTGACGCCTTCCGCTTGTCAGCTTCCGGCAAACCTAAGATTAATATTATTAAATGTGTATAAACAATTGTTATTAGTGTTTAGTCGTTGCAATATTGATTGACAGTTATTTTTTTATTTTATGATGCAATATTTGTAGTAATAAGAATATCAATGTTCATTATTAGATTATTATTTAAATTGTATAAAAGGCCACTGTGACGGATAGATCGGGCAGTTGTTTTGTAAGTAAAGGAGTGAAGGGTAACTCTGTCAGTTTGTGAAGTGATTACAAAGTATATATATACCAAGTATCGTTTATCTGCGGTTAGTCGTACCTAGTCTATCCACCATTCACACTACACTCACCATGCGAAACACGGTAGTGTTAAGGTGCTATTTTACACTGGTATTCTGTCAGAGCGTTGTCCTTCCCCGGTTGAGCCGACCCATGCGTGTTACAACTATAATACTAATATAGCTGCAGCATGGCTCTACTACATGTATTGACAGAAAGGATCCTATTATTAAGCCCTTTTTGATAGAAAAACTCAATAACTTATTTTATTTCTTAGATACTAAAAAATATGTGAGTTCCGTAAAATAAGCTTTGAAAAGATTTTCGAAGAAAAAGAATGGACTCACCATGTCGAATTTGTAAGACAAGGAGTTTCACAAGCATACACCTGTAGCTGACAATTATTTATTTAATAAGATGGATGTATAGACTGTAGTACAAACAGAAAAGTTTTACGTGGTAGATGCATGCCATGCTGCAGCTATATTGTGGTTGTAGTACGAATGGGTCGGCACCCGGGTTGGGGCCACGCTCTCACAGTATACCAGCGTAAAACTGCTGCTGTGTTTCGTATAGTGAGTGGAGAGAACCGGAGATCCTTTTTACTGGAAACGAGACATTCCATCTCAGTCCTCAGGGATGACAACGCATCTGCATTTTGATTATTACTTGAGGATAAATGTAGATACTCTGGGCCAAAGCACCATCAAGTGGACTGTGTGCTCGTTTCTCACCCTTATTCTATATATAAAAAAAAAGAAGATTTAGAACTTATAGAGTACCAGCGTTTAATAGTTGCATGAGCTGTGTTTTTGTTTTTAGAATATGGTAATGGTGGTTGGTGGGGGTCCATGGACTGAAGGACCCACATATTAACAGCTGGACTGTTAGCTCTGTTGATATTGTAATAAAGCGAAATAAAAAAAATTAAGTGCGTACCCTTACCAAGAAAAAATTAATTGTTACAACAAAAGTGTGGTTTTTGTGAGTCTTTGCTTTTATTTGTACGCAACGGAAGTTTCGTAATGTAATGGACAACAATTTTTTTCTCCACCCGTCCCATACTACAGGTACTACAGGAATGAGAAACAATTTATTATTTCTTGGGTTTATGTAAAGTAAGGTATTAACATAATTAAAATCTCTCTTTAATATTTCATCGACCTAACAGCCCGGAAACAGTCCGATGTAAACGAGCCTCCCCCCTAGTAGAATTATTATTATTAATTGCGTTCAAACACTATATACAAGTTGAAACAAATTTATGATATAGAAAAAAACAAGGGCAGAAATAATATAAAAGAATTTGCACTTATTTAGCTATAGACATTATATGCTACTGCTAGTAAGCAGCGCAGCATAATGTTATTATATTGTTGTTATCGACACTATCTGAATGCTTGGCGGTCCACCACTGTGCAATATACTTGGAGTTTTCTTCTTCGCACTACATCTTTCTGGAGTCGTTTTGCCCTTACAAATTTTCCGGACCAAATAAGACTTAGAGACCTTTAAGATATGAGCTTTTATGTTTTTAAAAGGCCAGCAGCGCACCTGCAATTCTCCTGGTGTTGCAGTTGCTCGTGGGCGGTGGTCAGCACTTACCATCAGGTGAGCCGCATCCTCGTTTGGCCCTTCTTCTATAAAAAGAGGTAGCGCAAATTTTTCGGCACTATCCTTAAACCGACCGTTGGGCCATATAGTGGCGGTTAAAGAATATCTACGACCTCACATCGTCCCGTGGGTGTCGCAAGAGGAGACAGAGGAAAACAAACCGGAGGATGGTCAGCAGCATCTTCCCGATAACAACTAAAAAATAAAAACTTGTAGTTGCCGACCCACCTGCCAAGTATGCCATCAGCAAATATTCCTTATAAAACAATTTATGGCGAAAACCCATTTTAAGCAGTGGGCTTTCGAAAAGATGTTACGGTACTGGTGTCCCTAAATCATTTCCTACAACTTATTTTTTATCATCATCATTGGTATGTACTGTAGTAAGTTTAGAGCTGGAGATGAGCCTCGTTCGTATAGGGAGGAACTTAAATAAATATTACCTGTCGACGGAAATGGCGACCAGGTTGAATATACTGGAAGTGGAAGACGTGACGTCCATGGCAATGTAAACGTCGCAAATGAACGCCGGAAGACCCCAGGAGCCGTTGACCTGCGGACAATGTAAAACAAATGTAACTATTTCGTTTGTATAGTTATTTTCTAATGATTTCTTCTGGTGCTATAGAGAAATGCAACCATCTTGATGGCTATGGATTCGTCGTCACCTCTTACAACTATTCAAGGAATCCTTTCTTTAAGTTACTATCGTTACCGTTAACCGTTACAGGTTGAACATAGGCTTCCCCCATAGATTGCAACATATTGGATATTTGCCATAGTTACCACGCTTGGCAAGCGGGTTGTCAACAGCAGTTTATTTTTACTTTTGGTCGCGATTAGGAAGACGCTGTTGCTTATCGCCTAATTTGTTTCCCTCTGTCACCTCTTACGACATCCGCCTGTTGATATGGTGTAGTGAATATTCTTACACTGCCAATACACAGAGTTGATCTTTTGCCAGCCATATAGCACGAAGACGGACCCAATAGATGGAATGGAGACCATGTGGTCAATAAATCCAGGTGTAAGGATCCATTAAGTATGGCAATCAATGGGGGTAGCCGATATTGGCCAATAGATGATGATGCTGTAATGATGATGATTATAATTAAATACAAAAACTGAGGGTAGCTGGGCTAACTTTGACATCGGGACGTCAAACATCTCAGTCCCTCCAAACTCAAAAAAAATCGTGAAAATAGTTTTATTAACTGATAAAGAATAATTATAACTTTTAACAAAAAGTGAAAACCGACTTCAAATTTTTTTTAAAAAAAAGCTATTTATTTGTTAACCTTAGGGGCAGAATTTTTTCTCCAAATTTATATATTGCCACGCTTGAAGTATATCCTATTTAATTAAAAAAAGAATCATCAAAATTGGTTCACAATCTGCGATGATATCCCGGAACATACATACAAAAAAAATATACACTCGAATTGAGGATCTCCTCCTCTTTGAAGTCGATTAATAAATAAAATAGGAGAGAGGGAGGTAGCAACTCAGACAAAATTCTCTGGAAACGAACCCGTAGCAAATATTTATTAGTTTTTTTTTCGTTTTAATCAGAAATACACATTTATACTGTATACTGTACTAATAATTTAATAAAATGTATTTTTGTTTTTAGTTATAAGGTACAATGGGACCTATATATTAAAAATAACAAAAGTCCCTTAAAAAGAATACACGAGTGTAAAAACACCAATTATACAATGATTTATTTTTAATTAACTCTGTAGTTGTCGAACTTATAAAAAAATAAAAATAAAAATCATCTTAAAACTAGTTAAAACTAGTTGAAAGTAAATCACATAGTCGCATCATATAAAATTAAATGAACATACTTTTCTGGATACGTATCATACGATTGAATAAAATTTTAAATTGAAAATAGTACAGAGGTATGAAATCAATTTGATTAAGGTTTTATTTAATAACTCGCTCTGAGTTAACAAGCTGTCCAACTAAAATTTTGCATATTCAACATTTATTTAATTTACGCATGCAAAAGTTTTGGGTTTTAGTTTTTAAAATGGAATGAAAAACAATTACCTTAATTATCACAATAAAAAAAAATTACATGCCATTGTAGTGTTTCAAGGTATGTTTATTGTATTTATTTTATAAATATGAAGAAAAAAATACGTTTTAAATACTTGCCCGTACCGAAACGAACCCTTGAACCTCAGTCCTATAGCAGTAATAATAATAATTTATTGCTTTAAGATAAGTAGAATTTGTTACAATATTGCTGGGAACTCTTTTTGAAGTAAATAGATTCCTGTACTAGTACTACTAACCACGAAGTATATCTTCTAGTCTACCAAGAATTGTGGTAATTTTAAATTATTATGTCCATGAACATATTAAAAGTCCGCTTTTTTAATCATTAATGTCGGTGTAAGAATATCCATTAACCTAAATCGTCCCTTGGGTGTCGTAAGAGGCGACAGAGGGAAACAAATCATGAGATGGACAGCAGCGTCTTCCTAATAACGTCCAGAAAATAAAAATAAACTTGTTGCAAACATGCATGACAAACGTGGTAACTATTTTTAATTTCTATTCTATACAATCTATGGTGAGGCCTATTTTGAACAGTGAACTTTGATATATATATGACATTCATGATGTATGAGTTTACAACATTTATTCAAATTAGGTTTTGCTAAAGCTAACTCCTCAATAGTGTCTCCCTAAGAGTAGGTTCTAAGATGAACATGGATAAGACTAGATCATTTGTGGAGCCCTTGTTACACCTATGCCGTTAGTTGTTGCATAACGCTCAAAGTTGTTGGAAAATTATCCGCCTAGGTAAGTCCAACTTCGGCCAAGGTCTGTTAACTCGGCGTCATGGGGGTTAGGTCTGTGCGACCCGTCACGTTTTATTGCGCTTCTAGTTTGGTTACTATGCGTGCGACGTTGCCGTTCTTCTCAATAGCTGGAACTGTTGAGTTGTTCTATGCGTCTCAAGCAACTTGTTAGTCGTGGCACAACCGAAGTGGGAGTTACAGGTGCACAAAATTGAATAAGGCACGTGAGACCCATCCCCGCAATCAGTGTAACAATTTCACGCCATTTTGTATAGATATTTTTTTACTTATTATCTGTGCTTTTATCCTTTTATATTTGATTTTTTGTTGTTGTTTATAATTGTATTTACTGATATATATAGTTCAATGTATTTTATTTGTATTTTTGCAGGTACTTAAAAAAATGGATCGCGAAGAGATAGAACGACAGTGTATTTTTGCAATTTTACAAGAATCTGACTCTGATTCTGAGTTGTCAGACCAGGATGTGTGTGACGAAGAAGATCACTTGAGTGAGCGTAGTAATCCTAGTGACACAGAACAAGATATCTCGGAGGCTGATGATGATGACATTTCACTGTCTACTCTATTGCATAGAAGTCGTTCGCGAGAAGAGCAGTGTACATCCGAATCGTCTAGTTCTTCAAACGCAAACCGTGAGTGTCCTTCGGGTTTTTATTGTGGCAAAGACGGTACGATGTGGTATAAGACGCCTTTTCGACAAAATGTCAGAACCAGAACTGAAAACATAATAATAATAATAATAATATAATAAATAATAATAAAAGGAAACGAAAGAAGATCTCAAAAAGAAATTTAAACATCGGCTCAATAGTATATTCCGGTCTCAGCTCAACTACCGCAACATGTCAAAAGCTATCAACAGTTACGCAATCCCCATACTGACATATTCGTTTGGTGTAATAAGCTGGACTCAAGGTGACCTTACCAATCTACAACGTATTATAAATACCACTCTAACGGCTCACCGCAAGCACCACCCTAGATCCTGCGTACAAAGGATGACTCTTTCAAGATCCGATGGAGGACGAGGTATAATAGATGTACTCAACTTGCATAACAAACAAATCAAATGCCTTCGACAATATTTCTATCAACGTTCAGAACACTCACCTCTCCATGAAATAGTAACCTTAGCCGACAAACGCTTCACACCACCTAACCTTGCAGACCGAAATACACAGCGCAACGAACGGATCACTGACGTAAAAGAGAAGATCGCCTCATGGCAACAGAAGTCCCTACACGGAAGGCACTATCACGACCTGCAGCAGCCACATGTCGACAAAAAAGCGTCGGACGCATGGCTGAGGCGCGGTGAACTCTTCCCAGAGACGGAGGCCTTCATGTTAGCGATCCAGGACCAGGTTATCGATACTCGAAACTTCCAGAGACACATAATACGCGCACCTAGCCTTCCCACCGATACTTGCAGACATTGCCATTCTAGTCCCGAAAACATACAACACATTACATCCGCCTGTAGAGCCCTTGCACAAACCGACTATAAACACCGGCATGACCAGGTAGCTTCCATAATACACCAACATCTTGCGCTTAAATTCAAATTTATACAAAAAATGACACCATATTATAAATATAAACCGGACATTATATTAGAAAACAATAATCATAGAATTTACTGGGACAGGACCATTATCACGGATAAAACTATCCACTTCAATAGGCCAGATATCACATTGTATGACAAAAATAACAAAACTACTTACCTTATTGACATTGCCATACCAAACACCCATAACATTCAATCCACCATTGCTGAAAAACTTACAAAATATCAAGATTTAGCAATAGAACTGAAGCGTCAATGGAAAGCAGAAGCCATCCATATAGTTCCAATAGTTATCTCATCTACCGGAGTCATACCTAAAAGCCTACAACGCAGTTTAGATATTTTGCAAGTACCCCAACACACACTTTACACCCTGCAGAAAGCTGTCATTCTCAACACCTGCCGACTCACATGCAAATTCCTCACCACTTCATCCGTCACCTCCGCTTACACCATCACCTAGCACCTGCTCACGCTTGGCTTCGGCCCGTGTGATTAGGGTTTAAGTTACCTCTATAATAGGGAGAATATAGATGTATAATAATAATAATAATAATAATATAATAATAAATAAATAAATATAATAATAAAGGCGTAGGGAAGTGACGACCCCATCGCCCGCTGACGTAACAGTTAAGTGACAAAACTGCTATGTCAGCGCAGTCAGTCAGTGCCTTGCCAAGAGGTGTGAGCGCCGTGCCTCGGCAGTATTGAGGGTGCAAAGGCCCGTTTGTGCTTACGGCCACACTATTAAACGGCGCCCGGTCTGGGCGTCTCCCGTTAATTGACGCCCAATTCAATGGATGATGGAAAATAATAGAACGCGCATAGGGCCGCTGCCTGGGGGTCGCCGGGGCGCGTCTGGAGCTGGCGCTGGACGTGACAGCATGCGAGCCGCCAGCCGAGCGCGAGGTGCTGCACGACCACCTAGCAGCCCCTCGCGTCCATCATCCCCACCAGACGGCTTGGTGTCGGCGGGGTCCTCTCGGACTCGGCAAGCGGCACCCGCCGCTGGTGGAGTACGCCGCATGCGTTGGACAAAAAATATGTACATAAACGCATTGCGGGCGTACTATAGGGCGAAAGGGG